CAGTGGAATTGCACCGAAAGACGATAAACTCAACTCACAGCTATTGGTTCTAGGCAGTAGAATGACACTTACCGAGTTTTAACCACATTGACTGTCTCATCGCTAAAATTGGCACAGAAATGGCTACTTTCAAACTGAGAAATCCAGTGAAACGTCAGCCTACATGGTCGTTATTATTTCAAACACTATATAATTGACCCAGAACAAATTTTGCATTGAAAAGAACTGAATCACTGCCCTTCGATGTCAGAGTCCGATGTGCTACAACACCTTAAGCTGTCGTTAATCATTCTTAGCAGTGTTTAGTTCCATTTGTTGACCAAATTCATGGGGTAGTTCCCATATCTAAAGTCATGTTAACACTTCAGAAGAAACAACAAGCATCAAGTTAAATCTGTAATCATTGATGCTGAGTTTATGTGCTGAAGATTGATTTGTTTAATTTCTAAAATTTGTTCTGTTTAATAAAAAATCACAAACAGAAGTTGAAGATATATCAAATTGTAACATTAAACGATTTGCCAGGTGGCTAGTAGGTTTAAAATTAGAACAGTTTTTACCTTAGGAAAGTTGATACTATATCTTACGTTACAACCAATAATGCACATAGAACTGCCAGGGTAATGTTCTTGTGATTGTATTTCTTTATGTTATTATCTGTATGTTAGTTATTAGTAAAAATGTTAATGTACTACCATTTCCTTAGGGCTTTGTCATTTTATACCTTATCGGCAAAGTTAGTGTGTATCTGTGTGTATTTTTTGGACTAATCTATACAAGTCACTCAAACCTTGTTTACCATAGCAACAAGTCAGTACTAAATCGACTTGTTAAAAAATTTACGAATGTCATGAATACTGTGATTGGTTTAGTAAAGTTCTCTAGTCATGACAAATAGGATTTGAATTCCGTAACAGAATCTGTCAGATAACATACACACGAATCTGTATATATTCAGTACAAATAATTCAGACTGTGGTGCTTACTTTTGATTTGTATTAGATAATTTTATCTCGACTGAAACCATGATGCTAGCATGTAGAGGTTATCACTTACATACTGACATATTATTTTAGTATGTGCTTACATGGAAAACATGCATTTATAAATGTTGTATTGTTACCATAGTAACTACACGCTTTGAGCTTTGTAGTAAATTATATGAATAGTTAAAGACTATGGTTATTTTCCACAGTATATTTAATAAGTAATTATATTGCAACAAGGCTTTGTTTAAGTGAACTTTTATATTCCGTTGACATTCTTAATGTTTCTAAAATGCAATGTTTTGTAAAATGCACGTCCTATTTATTGTGGTGAGCTTGAATAAGTAGAAACTTGTTTCATTTATTGACAGTGTGCCCCCTTTGTATTTGTTCATCTGAGTCCTGTGTCCATCGTGGTGTTTATAACCTTTATGTACCTAACAGCAGTATAATGTTTTACATTTGCTTCTGTATTGATTTAGACTTAGCGATGTGTTTTACAGAATTATGTATTACCTAACTTTATACATGTGCATGGCTTGAGAAGTGGATTTCTGGGGAAGGTGGGTTTTTTTTAGAACAATAGTGGTTAGGGTTTGAGAAGTTGTGGCTAGGCATTGGAAGTTAAAAGTAAAACTTAAATGCCCTGTTGGTGATTATTCGGTTAAATGTAATAAACGTCAGTTTTGTTTTTGTTTCTAATTTGTGTGTATATTGTTTGTTGGTTTGTTGTTGTTTTTTTTTGGGGGGGGGGGGACGAGGGGAGAACTCGGTCATTGCTGACACCCGGCCCCGAATTATACTACCGGTGCATCCCTAATATGTATATATATATAAATGAGTAATAATGCCGTTGGGTGTATAAACGTACTTGGCAGACAGAAGTGGTGGGTGTTTGAACCTTTCTGTTAAGTTCGCAAACTAATTAATTGCACCAAAATAAATTGTATATCTCAGTTTTTGGAGGAATACTTGTACTGGTTCGTATACAATATCAGCCTCGTTAATAATTGGTTTAATTTTGAGATATTAGCAGAACTTGTACATTAAAGTTAAAACGTTTATATAACCCTTGCCCTATATAATTATTTGTGGTGGTATTTGTTTCTGTTCACCCTGTATTATAGATGACGAAATCGTGGTCATCGTCAGTTTCTTCAATATATCCAGCGATTTCGATAGCTTGTCGATTCCATCTTAAGTGTGAAGATTATCGTGTTTACACTTGATCTGCCTGAGGTGTATTTAACTTCATAATGTATATAAATGATTTTGTTTCACAAGTTTCTCGTTTTTATTTTGCTTCAGATATTTTACGTTATCCCGTGTCATACTGACGTCACTTCGCTTTGTTAATGAGTGCTTGGTAACTTTCACGAGTTTTAAGTGTGTTTCTTGAGTCCATCGAAGAATGAATTTGTTAAGGAAACTAAAGCTTCCAATAAAACAGCGGTACTCACGTAGGTTTCCAAATTTCACATGCGCATTCTTTAAAGTTAAGTGTTGTTTGCATTCTCCGAAAGGGTTGTTTTTCAAGCAACTGATGATATAAATAGTGTCTCCACCACTGCTATGTCTATCGTATACTAGCAGGCCTGATGAGACCTGGAAATGGGCAGAAGGCTTCGTTGGCACTGGAAATAGCAAGTGTAGTGTGGTTCACATATTTTTCCAAAAGGGGGCCAAAGGCCGCCTGAAGGGGGTAACCTATTTTTCGTTAGAACCCTTTATTTTTGTGATGTAAAAAAATGCTTATATAGTTATAGCACAGCTGCTTAAAGTATTTAACGTTTTCTACATAGTCTACGTTCTTTTGATGAAGCATTAGCATGTTTGACTTGAAATAGTCGTCTGCAATGGCTTCTATTGACACTTTTGTAATTGGAAACCCGAAGTTGTATTGCTATCAGGTTTTGTATGCCAGTTTCTGTACAGTAGGTGTCTGTGACTTGTTGGCGATAAATCTCAACAATAAACAAACAGCAACACATTCCACTTGCTTTAAAATAATATAGTAAAACTATTGTTGTAAGTGTTATTTAAATCTTTATAAATATAATAGTACTGTCTGTTGTCTGCCCATGTAAGTACTTCGCAGGGTGTGGATAGATCTTCACCAAAATTGGTATGTAGGTTTATTTGGTCCATGCAGGGATACATACACATTTTCAGTTTTGCGTTCTGCGATTTTTATGGGCGTTTTTGCTTTTTCTACAATTGTATACAAGAGAAGCAACTTTCATGTCCTAAGATAACCTTTCATTAATCATGAATTTACATAACTTCCGTCCAGATGTAAACTGATTTCTATGTTTCCTGAAGTTCTTATGAGAGGAACTATAATAAAAACAATAACTTTTCATTTGTTTCAACGTTTGTCCATTGGATTAGACAGTTTTCCATTAATTCCATCCCATGTAACTAATCCTGTAGCCCTAACTGCTTTGCACCTTT